CTAACAATTAATGCATATAACCCTAGCAGAAATTTCACAAATTGTATGTCTCTGAACCTATAAGCAAAAGGTATGGGTATTGTATTTCCATCTTATTGTACAGAATGAATGATGGAATTAAACTACACTTTATAGGAATCCTCTTATCTACCTCCCAAAGTAGGTATCACTAGAAAGGTAATGAAAATACTTGGTATTCTTCTGACATCTCAATTGAGAATTGGTTCCTCATTTCCGATATACATATGCTAGGCCTACAATAGCACCTGAAAATAATAAGTCATGTTTTTATCCTTCCTCATGCCAAAATCTAAATTGTTATTCATCTAGATATGACTAAAAATAGATACTGTATTTCACAGCACAATTTAAACTACTTCATACTAATCTGAATTGTGTGGTTTCCCAAATATAAAGACAAATCTAACCATACTTTCAAGCAGACCCCATTGGTTTTCTTCTACAATTATTTTCTTCCTCTTGCAGGAGAGTCCCCATGTGTTCAGAGGTTAATCCTGATTAAGTCTAAGGAATTGTGGTCATTTCGTTTTTCTTTCCAGAGAGTTTTAGGAAGGAACAAGTGGTCCAAGCTTGGCCGATGAAATGGGAGAGGAAGTCTGAGAGGGAATTCTGGGAAGGTTTGCTTATTCTTTCCATGGGACTTAGAAGGTCTTTCTTCTGATATTGTTCGATATCCCTGTGAGGTCTGGAATATCCACTAGCCTAGGAATAAAAGTCACATTTTGAGAATAAAGGTGCCAAGGGAGTAGCAGAGAGTGAGAGGCATGCCATGATGGAGCTTAACTTCATAATATGAAAAACAAATCTCACTGCTTCTGTCAACTGGATTTTTTCCTTACCCACCAAAACCATCCTAACTGATCCAAGCCACCATCATTTCCAACTTCATATTATCATTTGTTTTCTCTTCCAAACTTTCCACAGGCATCTTTATTTTCAGTTTAGTCATATTGTATATAAATTTTGCATCCATCTTTTTCCCTTCACATTATCGTCAGCATTTTTTCAATTTTTACATATAATCTTTACAATTATCATGTTAGTAGCTGCATAGTATCCAAGTGAAGAGAATTTTGATGTCTCTTATTGCTAGAATATTTAGGTTTGCCTTCAAATTATTTTTCCAAAGATTACCTCAAAACAAACCCACATACACACACTTAAACACAGTAAGGACATACATATAGTGACAGATTATCACTCAAATAAAAGGCAATAGTAACTGGCTATCTTAATATTCTTAAAAAAAAAAAAAAAAAAAAACCTTTGCAGTGGTAGAGAGACAGATAATATTCCCAAATTGACATATTTGATAGCAGCCCTAGTCTGAAAAGCAGATTGAGCTCAATATTTAAAATGCAGTCAGGGAATGTATCAAATCTGTTATTGCTAATACATGTTTTCCAGAATCAAGAAGCAGTGTTAAAAGCAGGGAGACAGGTTTCTGCCCATTTTTTAATTAATATTCACTTCAAACACCAGATGGACTTCAAAGAGCACAGCCTGTAAACAGTAGTAACTGCCACACAAATCAGTCTCTCTGTTTGAATCAGGAGATTTGGGGGCGTAGGTACACATGAGCAGATTAGCATGGCATGACAAGAAGTCAGATCTATGAATCACTCTGAATGGTAAAATCTCAATCATTCTTTCTGGTAAAACCGCATTATCAATTATTGTGCTTGTTTTTTACCCAGAAGTCGTCAGTCACCATCAGTTGAGTTGTTTAACTGCTCATACCAAAGAGAAGCCTCCAGCACAGCATCAAGCAAGTTGTCCCATCTGCCTTGCTAACCAGAGATTGGAAAAGTGATTTCTCTTCCTAGTCGCTGTTGGGGGAAATTGATAGTTGGTTCACTTTTTCTGGAGAAATGTGGAAAAAACCAAGCTCGCTTTCAGTTGATAATCAGATTCTGGTGAACTAGGCTGTTATCATCCCACACTGTCATTTCCTAAAGCCTCACAAAAATTTATGATAGGCTTACCTGTGCTTGACTCTAAACCAGGCAGGATGAACTCACAGAAGGGCAATCTCAGTGAGCATGATCATCACCACTACAATTCTAGGTGGGTTCTGTTGGTTCTGCCTGACTGTGAAAGAGAGTCCTCAGCATCCAAGTCTCCTTGACTATTCATTAATAAGGCACACTCTTGAGCCAGATCAAAGAAATTCTTCAATTAAGGCCTCTGAAGACAAGAGATATCCATCTAACAATTCCCTAGGTGATTCTAATGCTCATTATGAGAGCTAAATCCCTGGGCTGAATGAATCCCCGAATAATTCTCTATTACTAATTCCCAAGTTTCATACAGTCAGGGCTGGGCATCACCTAGCTCGCTCTCAGACATTTGGGCCACAGAAGTGCCCACACCCTGCCAGAGCTCACCTGAGATCCTCCCACTGTCCCTCCAACTAGACCAACCAATTCTCCTGAGATACCAACTTCCTCATTTCTCTCCATGCAACTAGAGATGGAAGTCTGGTCTCTCTATTTTTTAAAGCAGGGATCTCATTACTACACATTTTCTTTCCTTTTGTCCTCATTGTTATTGATAAAATAAAAAAAATAAAGAAAACTCAGTATTTTCAAATCATCAGAAACCAGAAATCATGTGCTCTGTATAAAATGTAATTCCCTTTCCCCTTCCTTCTAGGCTAGTCCTTAAGGTACAGTAAGATCGCTGAACAGCACGGATAGCTCTATATGTTTACTTAATTAAGGAACTAGAGCAATATGAGCTGTGAAGTGAAAATGTGCACTATCTTATAATGTTGCTATGAGAATGAAATGAGAAAACTAATACATAAAATGCTTAGCCCAACACAGTGTCATGCCAGGTCATTTGGGCACATACTCTGAGCTAGAAAAGTCCTGTGACTCAATCTTATTCAAAAATGGATTTTCTCCAGACAAGGAAACCAAAACTCTGGGAGCGAGAATCTTGCCCAATACAGCAGAGCCAAAACCAGATACCACTATTTTGTAAAGCACAATTCCATATTCTTTTCACTACCCCATGAGAACTTTGCTCGCACTCCTACATGAAATGTAGGCCCAAGAAAGCCACAAGATTCAGAAGATGGCAGTCATTTTGAAGATGTGAATTATGCCAAATCACAGCTGGAGGAGTAAAGGACAGAATGGGAAGCACTGGGCACTGGTTATCAACACTGAGCTGTGAACATAAGGAAATTCTTACATAGCCAGTCAATTGCTTTCCTTTTTTTTTTTTTTTTGGTGGGGGGAAGGGTTATCGCCCATGTTGGGCAATTTCTTTTGTTTCTCTGGTGTTCAAATCACTTTACTCCAGGCTGTAGAAACAACAATTATGCAGTGTTTGGAGTGCAGTCTGGTGCGAATTAGCTGTGCACATAAAAGCATCACAAAGAGTCTGTGCTGCTGTTAAGTATAAATTCCTATTCAACACAAGGAAGTAGGTGATCCGAAGGACGAGTCAGTCTTCTCATTTGGAATATAAATTCAAAAGCATCATGTCAGAAAGAAAGAGCCATAGATCAATATAACGTTTTAACTTTAAATTCCTTTTTTTTCTTTCAGTAATGTGTTTATATACATTTAAGGAAAGCTTGTGTGTTTTTCCCATGCATTTATTTTCTGTGTATTGTACCTTTACCCATTTTTAAAATGAAGAATAACAGAAAAATTAAAAAAAAAAATTAAAAAAGCCAGTGGTTGCCAAACAAGAGACTGCACTACATAAATAATCCCTTACAGTAAATAATGAGACAATGCTAGGGCTCTCTGCTTGATATCACCTCAATTTTTTTATAATCACATTGGCATTCTGTCCATGAAACACGAGTACAGAGATGACTTCATTCTCCAGGATGAAGGAGAATTGATCTTAACCTTCCTATCACTTTTCTTTAGCTCAAAGGACTGATGCAATTGAAGGCACGAGAAAATTTTCTGTAGGAAAAGGATGGCACTGTGGAGGCTAACCTCCAAATTACCTCCAAAGACACAAAGTACAACATATTTCAAAAATCCCAATTCATGAAAGGCCTGTCCCACAGCTTGGATGAAGAGCTGCCAAAATAATTCAAACTTGGAAGGACAGAAGGCTTTCCCCCCCCCCCAGCTATAAGGTGGAGGGGAGCATTTAGATTAGGAACTCCAAATAAAACATTTTTCAAAAGCAGATTATTTATTTACATTAAATCTATTATTGGGATACCTTCATTAGCACAAAACCAGAGCATCTTACCCACCTTATCTCTTGCTGTGATCAACTAATACGGATGTTCCACAAACAACAAATAAAGCTACATCACAGCCTTCTCGACATCTGCGTGTGACTCTATCAAGTTGCTTCTTCCCTGAGACAGTTAATATTCCCGTCTCTTTACCCTTCTGTCTCACTCACTGACACTTACCATACTGTGCTCCAAAATGTAAACATAATTTTGACAAACTGAATTTCGACCCTGAAATGTTACCAGGCTTTTACAAATAGAGGTCAGTGGTGGGAGGAAAGAAGACAACATTTTTACATTTTTCCAAATGTGGGTCCACCAGGAGGAGGGGAAGGTTACTGGCTGTCATCTGGGATTTAGTGTGTCCTTCAAGTAATGAGAAACTGTCTCCTTTTCTCTGTCTCTTTTATGTAAATACGGTAACGAGCTGATCTAGAGAACACACAACCACCCGGAGTGAGTGCGCACACACACACACACACACACACACACACACACTCCCACACGCTACTGTGCAGACACAAAACAACATCCAGAAACCCCAAGTGCAGCACCTCGGAGAAACTCTCCCCCCTGACACGCTTCCCGCACAAAGCCTGCCCTTGCTAGTTGAAAATCAAGTCGCCAAAGTCGGCCCCTCGGAGGCTCCGCCGTCGCACGGGCAGCGCACACCCGCCGCCCCACGCCCTCCCCAGTGACTGCGTCCCCTCAAGTCTGGGCGCCCTGCCGGCCCGAGGTGCGCCGGGCGGCGGTCACTCACCGTGCCTGCAGCCGCAGTAGCCCCAGTCCACCTTGCCGCGGGCGTCCCCGTAGAAGCACCAGGGTCTGCCCGCGCCGTCCGGGCTCTGGCAAAAGTTGTGGCGCTGCCCTCGCAGCTGAGCCCAGCCCGCCGGGGGCGCGCGCGCCGGGAGGGCTGGCACCTCCGCCCAGCGCAGGCACGGGGCGCCGAAGTCCGTCACGTTGGCCCCGGGCGCGCGGGCCGGGCAGTCCGCGGGGTGCGGCCGGGGCGCGTGCCGGGCGCAGAGGGCGTGCGGGCGCGAGGCGGGGCGCGCCGGCGGGGGGCGCGCCGGCGGGGGGCGCGGGGCGCGCGGGGGAGAGGGCGGTGGGGGTGTCCTCTGCTGTGGCCGCGGAATGGGAAGGTGGTAAGAGGACTGGGGACCCGGAGGGGGCGGGTGGCGAGGGTGAAGAGGGTAACTCAGGACCGGCTCAGAGGCGGCCACCTCGGGGAGCGCCCCTAAAATCAGAGCGACCGCGAAGCCGGCGAGCGTCATGGTGCCAGGGCAGGCGGGTTTGGTCCATGCTCGCCCGCTCCACGGATGCTGAGGGGGGAGAGGAGGGGACGGGGGCGGGGCTGCAGCGTCCCTCGAATCCCCCAGGCGAGCCCCCTCCCGCTCCCCGCGCGGACGCCTCCCTCTCCCCACCTCGTCTCCGCCGCGGTCCTGCCCCCACCCCCGCCCCGGGCGGGCGCCGAAACCCTGAGCTTGAGCTTGGAGCGAACCCGCACAGAAAAGGCGCGACGCCGCCGGGAGTGGCGGGGCCGAGCCCCAGGTGGCCGGCGGCGCAGCCCGCGAGCTCTGCCCCCTGGCTGCGGGCGCGGGGCGCGCAGGCTCCCCGGCGCCCGCCCTCCGCCTGGCGGGGTCCGGCTCCCCAGCCTCGCTGCGCGCCCTGCCGCGGCCTCTCCGTGCCCGCGCCGGGCCCCGGAGTGCGATGCGGGGGGCGGTCTTGGCTGCCCCTGGCGAGCCGGCAGCACCCCCACAGCTCCGGAGCCTGGCTCGGGTCCCGCAGCCGTCTCTCTTCCACCCGCGCGCCAGGCTCGCTTTCCCGGTTCTGAAATCTTCGGAAGAAAAGTGTGGATGGATTTAGTTGCAACTCGCCCTTGACAAGTCCGAGGTAAAAGTTATCCACGTCCACGGAAAACGTTGAGGCCAGTTTACCGAACTGTGAGCTCCTCAAGGGCAAGACCACGTTTCCTTCAAGTTTCCATCCCGGTGCCCAGCGCCCTGCCCCACACCGAGGAGGCGCCAACAAACAAGCGCTGCAATTAAATTCCTGAGCCGACCCAGGGAAAGGCGCTTGAGCCTTTCTGCTTCCTGCCTCCCACAGGCCTCCCGGGGCCTGGGCAACACCAGTTGTTTGCTTATTGTTGGCACTTAGTGATGCTCTCTTAATACCAAATTTCCTTTCTCGCCAAAGAAGACTTCATCCGTCCTGGTCTCCATCCTATCCAAAAAAGTCCTCCCTCTAGCACCTGCCTGCTTTTTGCAGGCCAGGGACTGAGCTAAGCTTGCTCAGTTGCCTCTCTAAAGCGGATTCTGACAGCAGGAAGTTTTGAAGCTCTGGACTTTAGTTTAGCAGCGCCCTTTCGGGAGCCCTCCCCCACCCCAAAAACAGCTTAGAATTAGAAAAAAAAAAAAATCACTGGAGCTGGATGTTTTAGGATTTCCCCTTTCGATTGTTTCTGACTGTGCCACTAAAGATAAACAAGGAGAAGGAAGGTCATAAAGACCTTCCTTTTCATTGAGGTAACATTGGTTTACGACACTACAGACGGTTTAGAGGTATAGGATCATCCCTTCCAGATGTCTGCTGCCACACCAAGGCCACCACCAAAGCACCCATAATCCTCCACCATAGTCCCTTGTGCCCCCTCCCCACTTTGCTCCCCCTACTCTGGTAGCCTGTAATATTTTATGTCCTGGAATAATCATGTTTCCTTGTGGGGTTGACTACTTTTTCCTAATTAATGTATCCCACTTGAGCATGACTTAAATGTTTATTGTTAAAACCTAGGTTTCAGGGCCTCCCTGGTGGCGCAAGGGGTTAAGCAGAGCACTATGAAGCTACCCATGGCCTCTGCAGCAAGAGTTCCATCCCCGGCCAAGGAGATACCCACACTGCAAGGCAGACCTCTCCTGTCTTGCCCACTGCTCCCCTCAGCAGTGTATTTCAGTCAGTCTGCCTGTTCTGTTCCCCACTGTCTCTGGTGAATCCTCTCACCCCCGCATCTCTGGCCTGTACTCCAGTTCTTGTATGCATAAGTAAGTAAATCTTAAAAAAAAAAAAAAAAAAACACCTAGGTTTCAATTAGAAATGGACTTAGATTAGGTTCCTATCCTAGCTCAAATAATCCAGTTTAGTTTAAGTTTTACAAATCATCTCATTGCCCCCCCCCATTCTTATTAATGAAATATTTGATTTTATTTCAGTGAGAACTGGGTAAAAGGAATATTAGGAACTCAGATATTTGTCAAATCTTTATTCAGGATGTTTTCACCCAACATTTTTTAAAAATACTTTTCTGGCTCTAAAAGCATACTTAAAACTGAACTTGGAGACTACATCTCTGGAGTAAGTTGACTAGGAAGACATTTCATCAGTCACTATTCTTGAAACAACAGGTGACAATTCTAGTAAGAGTCGCCTTTTCCTTTCTCTTTTCCTTTTCACCTTCTGCCACTGCCTTGATGGATCAGGCAGGGAAGGCTCACTTTGGGGTTCAACTGGCTCCATTGAGACCCTGCTGCCCTGCCCACACAGCATGGCGCATGCACACACACACACACACACACACACACACGGCTCTCACACTTCCTGCGCCATGCAGGCAAACCCACACATCTATGGCCCTCAAAGAGAACGAAACTACGAGAGAAGAGAAAAGAATTCCAGACCAAAAGGAGGGAACACAGGGCAAGTTGGGATCATCTCCAGCCACCTGTACTACCTAACATGAGCAGATTTCCCAAGGCCTACTGACATTTCACAGATTATAAAGCTGACACATATAAAGTGGAGTTATCCACAGAAAATTCTGCATCTGTATTTAATCATTTCACTTTTAAAACATACCTTTCCTAGAAAATAAAATAGTACTTTACTATGACTATGAGCTTAGGGATCTCAATTTGGGTTTTGCCCTCTATTTACCTGGCCAAGTGTGACTTGGATCTGTTCTTTACTTATTACTTCCCTCCTCTGCTAATATTTTCTTCCCTCTCTTCTTTCATCCCTCCTTGATGCTACTAACATGCTGGTGTTTAGGAATTCCAGTTTCCAATCCAGTCCCTGAAATGCATATCTCCTCCCTTCTCCTCCACATCCAGTGTGTGTGTATGTGGGTGTGTTTTTTTTTTTTTGGGGGGGGCTGTATTTGCAGGAAGGGATCCTCTCCCTCAACCTCAGTTAGGTACTTTGTAGCCACAGTTCTGATTCCCATGATCCTCTATCACAGATGTCAAAGCCAAAGAACAGGACAGGGAATGCCATCTTATGCTGCCTTCCAACCCTTTTGGCAGCAACAAAGAAGCAAGGTAAGGGAACAGAAAGAAACAAGTGACATCTCACAGGCATTCCCCACCACAGCACTCAGATGACCCCAGGAGGCTCCAACAAATCCCCCTCAGCACTATGCCTCCAACTCTACCAAACAACCTGCCTGATCTGAAGCCCAAGAGTTCAGCTCCCCCCAGGCACACAGTCTGAAACCTAGACAAGTGAAAAAGGGCCTCTCCCTGCCCAATTCACAGCAGGGAGGGTTGGCAGTCTTGGGAATGCAGGTGGGGCTCACACATATTTGCATATCTGCACTCTCATGGCGACCATGTTATAGATGAACATTAGGTTTATGGTGGTTTTGGGGATCACTTTACTTCACATACATGATGGACTGAATAGCTCTTGTGTAGTTTGATTTGGAAGGATACCCAGTATGCATATTACTTTTGCAGAGTTCCAAAAACCAATATACAAAATAACTTTTGGAAAAGTTCCATTTACAATTTGGGTAGCAGCTGTATTTGGGGAAGCTAGAAGCTTTTATATATGCGGCATAAAAACAGTATTTACTTGTATAACTCCAAGTGGAAAATTTTGTAAAAAGAACACTGAGCATGGCTTTTTCAAATAAAAGGGAAAAATCAAATAATATGAGGGCCTGTCTAGGAACTGCGAGAGATTTGAAATTACAAAATACTAACAACCTATAGATGGAGGGAAATATAATTAAAGAACATGCAATATTTGGTTAAAAGTGCGAAGAAATAAAAGATCCAGAAAATAAAGAATGGATGGCTAAATGATTCAGTGACTCATAGGTAGTAGGTATATGGCAGAGGAGGTAAAGTGCACTTGTCTGGGCCTTCCTCTCTGCCTGTCCTCAGCCATGAAGACATCTGATGAGCTTATGACTGCAACAGCACCCTATCAAAAACCAGTAAAACCATAAATAAGGGCTGTTGACCTTGTAGATGGTATTCAAGAGGAAAAGTTCTGCTCGACATATTATGTCCATAATGCTCATAAGAATCACTTAATCTCCCTTTTTCCCATTGTTTAAAATTGAATTTATAAAATAGAATATTTTTTCAAATTTCGATTATTTTTTTAAATTCGGCTAAACTTGATGCCAAGGTTGATGAAAGATTGATAACAATCCCTGCATGGAAATAAATTCTACAGATTCATGATCAGGGTTACCCAAATTATACATGAATAGAAGGAAACATATAAGATATAGCTATAAATGGTATAGACACAGACATAGCTATTCCCTCTCCCCCACCAAAAAAAAAAAAAAAAAAAAATGGTTACTTGAACCAGAAAATCAAATTGGCAATCAATCTGGCTCCAGCTCTCACTCCCAGAGGATTTTAGACAAGTTCCCTTCTTGCCCTAAGCCAAAGGCTCCACCTCTGTGAAAAAGGGACAGTAACTGCACTGGCCTGGGAGGTCTCTGTGAAGGCTCACTGAGATAATTACCTGTAAACTGTTGAGCAGAACACTTAAGAAATGCCCACTAAGATATGAGGAACAGCCTTAGTGACAGCCTTTAAATTTTTCACCTGTCAAACGAAGTCACCCTGTGAAAGCCCGTGTTAGTGAAGCCGAGAATGTGTCTTCATTTTCCTCTCTGCCATGTTTCCGCCTCATACTGTATCTCAGGCTTCCCAGATGACAATGACAAGATGCCCTCAACTGCTCATTGGAGCATTTGTCCTCTCTGATGTGTTTTCTTTCTTCCTCTCCATGGTCCCTGAAAGCCAATAAAAACTAGTTTGAGTTGAACACATTTTCTGAGTTTTCCTAAGTATAATGAGTGCTTTTCAGCCACTTCAGGTGCAGGGAGTCTGTGGCCACAGTTGGAAAGAGGAAACACACTGAAAGCAACGCAGCACTAGAAGTGCTGGCCAGTGATCTGGGAATCACAGAACCCGAGTGTTGCAAGAATTTAGAGCTCCAACTTTCTGTCAAATGCAGGAAACCTTTCCAGAACTGTCTGACAAGTGAATTTCCAGCTATTTCTTGAAAACTCTTGGTGGGGGAAATTCCTGTCTGTAGCCAGCAGACTTTATATCTA